ACCTTACAGAAACCACTACAGCAGTGGTTAATCTGAAGAGTTGCCAATTCCCAAATAGTTTTTGATAATCTGTGTAATTTTGTTTTTATTTTGAGCACTCAATTGGAAAACTATTAAACTTATACAAAGTGTATTCACCTACAATAAGGAAACCTGTATACTGGATCACCAAGAAAGATACAAATAGCTCACATGCTAGCAGCTATTGTGTTAAATCCTTATTTATAGAACAAGAAATGAATCCACCATCTCAAGTATTATGACACGGTACATTATCTGAGTAAATGTTGACATTAATGACAATTAAAGTGATGCTTAATTAGTCAACAACAGTGACTAGAAACCATGAGGCGCTCACAGAGTGATAAATATGATTAACTAGGAAAAGTGAAGGAGGAGGAAATGAGAAAATATTGCCCAGGATTGAAATCAATATTATATTAATTAAAACACAATTAATTTAAATAGCTTGCTCAACAAGGTACTATTGGCAAATTTTGCTAATGCTAATCTCTGCAACTATAAAGATCAGCTGTTTTTCAGTTTTCCACTGATGTGTTATTGTTTTTTGTTGTTATAATTTCACATAACAACACAACTTGTATGAAATCTCCATGTATTCTCATACAGAGTAACCTCTGTAGTTGGACTGGGGCAGGGGTGGGTTTTAACCAGCTTTACTACCGGTTCTCTTTGTGCACGCGCTTCATGCGCAATCGCCTCTTCAGAGAAGAGCTGGAGAAGTACTGGGGCCTGAAGGAGAAACTTGAAAGGATATGGAAAATAAAGGTCAAAGTGATCCCAGTGGTGGTATGTGGTATGCAGCAGGGGTGAAATCCAGCAGGTTCTGACAGGTTCTGGAGAATCGAAAATTTTGAGTAGTTCGGAGAACTGGTAAATACCACCTCTGGCTGGCCCCAGAGTGGGGTGGGAATGGAGATTTTGCAATATCCTTCCCCCAGGAGTGGGGAGGGAATGGAGATTTTGTAGTATCCTTCCCCTGCCACACCCACCAAGCCACGCCCACCAAGCCACACCATGCCCACCAAGCCATGCCCACAGAACCAGTAATAAAAAAAAATTGGATTTCACCCCTGGTATGCAGTAAAGAAATCATGGTAGATGCAAGATATAAATTTCCACTATGTGCCAATGATCTATTCCAATTAATAAATTAGTCAGAAAATTGCACTCCTTATTTCATTTCACTAATTCATAGGCTTAGTGCCCCATCTGATTACTCTATAAACTGGAGCAAATCCACTGGGTCTAAAGTAGGGATTTTTATAAGTACAGTGGATCAGATTTCAGGCAATATTCTGATTCTTTTGTTTAATTCAATCTAATAATTCCTAAAAAGCTGCTCAAAGGATAAATCTCCATATTTTTACACAAATGAATGTTGACAAATGCTTCACCATTTTTTTGAGCATTTAATGATGAAAATGAATTTACCAATCAGAAGTTGAATTGTATTTTTTTACAAGTTTTCACTGTTTTCTTCATATTCTTCCTTGCCCATGACAAAGACAGACTGAAGTTGTCCTTACCTCTATTAATATTAAAATAGTATTTTCCTCTTTATTCTGATAAAGATTTTCACTGTTTAAACTACAGTTAGCTGTTGGGAAAAGTTAAGATTATGCTACACTTTCAGTTTTATCACTGGACTCTTCATGCCAGAGTAGCTGTTTAGAAATTGGAATGTTAATTTATATTGTCTGGACTTGTCCTACAAGTACCACAGTAAATACATAGTATATAAATACTATGGTAATGAAATCCATAGGATAGTTATTATGGCTTTAATTGATCATGGTTAATTGAAGATGTATAAATTATGCTTAGTTATATCTCCAACATTTGGAATCTATTAGGACATCAGGAACTGAGGATTTTCCATTCATTGGGAATGACTAAAATATTTATTATTATACAACATGGGAAGAATGTATTAACACTTGAATGGCTGCAGAATAGAACAAAATACAATAGAAACTATTGATTTAATCATCTGACCATATCAAAAGTATAAAAGTGATACAAGTATACAAGTAAATATAAAGAAAACAGTACATATTCATAACCTCACGGTTAGATTATTGCAATGCGCTCTACATGGGGCTACCCTTGAAAAGTGTTCAGAGACTACAGTTGGTCCAGAATGCAGCTGCACGAGCTGTCGTGGGTGCACCTAGATACACCCACATTACACCAATTCTCCGCGAGCTGCACTGGCTCCCTATTGGTCTCTGGTCACAATTCAAGGTGTTGGTTATTACCTTTAAAGCCCTACATGGCTCAGGGCCAGGTTATCTTCGACCCCGCCTTCTGCCGCATAGCTCCCAGCAACTGGTAAGATCCCACAGAGTTGGTCTCCTCCGGGTCCCGTCAGCTAAATAATGCTGGCTGGCGGGCCTGCGGGGGAAGGCCTTCTCTGTGGCTGCCCCAGCTCTCTGGAACCAGTTACCTCCTGAGGTCCGGACCATCCCCACCCTATTGGCCTTCCGAAAAGCGGTGAAGACCTGGTGTTGATCTCGCTCTTGTGATCTGGTGAGATCTGGCCATGAATGGCGTGAATGAGTTTTTAATGTTTTTAATGTTTTTAATTTTTAAATGTTTTTTTATAATGATTTTTAAAAATGTATTGTGAGCCGCCCTGAGTCTTCGGAGAGGGGCGGCATATAAATTGAATTAATTAAATTAAATTAAATTAATAATTTGTCACTCTTACAGTTAATCCTAATTTGATCTATATAGTCTGCCCTCTTCAAAATGGCCTTTGATAAAAGTGTACTGTCTTACTAGTGATGTGCAGGTTCATTCCCTGCAAAAAGTATGATAATTTCTCCTGGGTGCCCCACATATTTTTTTTTAGGTTTTAAATAAGAAAGGTAAACAGACCTTTTTGCAAAATACAATCTGCAATCAAGGAGGCTATGTGCAATGTGTTCAACAGCTAGTGTATCACAATTATGCAATCTTTCTTCAAATGGAACCCCATGAAACCTCCTATATCTCACCATAGAATCTTTAGCTGTTCAAAACAAGCTCTAGAAAAAGCTCTTCTAAAGAGTTGAGCCATGTAAGTTGTTAAATACTTTTTTTTTTTTTACTAGGAAGCCTATTTGTGTCCAACCAGCCATTTCCTCTTAAGCAGACACATTAATGATCCTTTGTTGTTTGAAACATCTGTTGGCCTTCAGGTCTGACTGAATTGGATGGAAAAATCCACATTATGAGATGACATTTGAAAGTTGGGCAGCCCAAGCATGAGGAGCATGTTATGCAAGTGCTCTATAGAACAAAACCTGGGTAATCTATCAAGATCCATAAATAAGGTCTTCAGCCAATTAACTTCTTTAATAACTATATGGCTTGGTATATGGAATATTTATTCACACATCCCAATATGCATTTCAACAAAGTGGACTATATCTGTTCCAATAAAGGCGCATCCACAATTCTGCATGATATATATAATCACTATTTGGCCGTTATTTACACTTTGATTGGAATTAGAGAACTTTGGTAGCTATGGTTGGTCAGTTGTCTTATGGTGTTAACATAGGCTGTAGCCCTTTAAAAACTTCTCTTGAAATATGGGAGCCAGGAATCTGTTTCTGCAGAAATAATTTCTAAGTATAGATAGATCTTAACCTGATCAATATGTTCCTTATCCAGGCTGAAATATACCTAGTCCACCTCTTCCCAAAACTACCTTGGCCTTGATCTTATTACACAACATATTGTGTCAAATTCAATTTGTATGCCGTCCTGAGTCTTCAGAGAGGGGCGACATACAAATTGAATTAATAAATAAATAAATAATAAATACATCTGTACAGCAGTCTTCTCACCCCTACCTGGGCGTATGACATCAATTCTGCAGAATTGTATTGCATCATTTGGCAGAAAGCAGAATGTTTCCATGTTCATTTTTATGTCTATCTGTCTGTCTATCTGTCTGTCTGTCTAATCTATCTATCTTGAAAGGACTTTTGCATATCATTAATGCAAACAAAATGAGAGCTAGTATACATCCTTGTCTGACTCCCATTTGCTACTGTGAATTGCTGATATAATTGATATATATATCTCAATAGAGGACTTTTTTCAACAAAAGGCCAAAGAACATTTAAGCAATTTGGTCAATTAGTTTGGATTGCTCAGCCTCTTTGTTTTGTTTGTTTGTTTGTTTGTTTGTTTGTTTTGATAAATGTGCCATATTATTTTATTAATTCTATTTATGTAGGTAATCTTTCTTCTTTATTTTAATTAGTCTGACATAATACAAACTTTTTAAAAAAAAGTTTTTAAAAAAATATGACTTAATCTGGGATGCATGCACTGTACACTACCTATCATTGAACAACGGTTTATTCTACAGGAGATAGTAAGTTATTGTTGGATGATTTGTTTAGAACAATTGTTTGAGCAATTACAGAAAGGTCCAACATTTGATTTTGAACAATGATTACTAGATATCTCTAAACAGCTATTAACAAGGCATAAAAGTAATCACAGATTACAATTTTTATTTCTAAGATCCACTACTTGGAGACTGAGAGACCATCTCCTGCTCATGTAACTGCTGCTAGCAAATTAGCCTTCATGAAATTTTATTCACTCATTCTTGAGTTAGCAGAACATTATATTGGCATGAAATCTGCTGCTTCCATTGCTGGTCCTTTCTCCACTTCCCAGCCATTATCTGCTTGGATGGTATGAGAATAAAGAGGAAAATACTATTTTAATATTAATAGAGATAAGGACAACTTCAGTCTGTCTTTGTCATGGGCGAGGAAGAAGATGAAGAAAAGAAACATGTTGCCAGAATTTCCACAGTTACCAATTTATTTATTTATTTATTTTTTGAGATATCTGGTTTAAAGAGTAGTTACTTCAAGCAGATACCCATACAAATTCCCGGGCACAAGAATTACGAAAATTGCAAGGATTCTTTATCATATTGAAGAACCCCATAATACTATTATTACCTCTGATGACTTTTTTGTAATGATATTCAGTACTGTTGCTTCTTGGGCTATTTCTGCTTTGCCTGTCTGCTGGCTTTGCTCTGCTGCAGGTAATGCCTTAGGCAGCAAATCTGCCAAAGAAATAAATATACTGTAAGTGTGTGTCAGAGAGAGTGAGTAAAAAGGAAAATCCTCTCCAAAGTTAGTTAGACACCCCCCCCCAAAAAAAATAGGGGTTGCTGTTTTAGTATTTCCAACAGTAGATAAGCTAATTCACATGCTGAGACAGAATTGAAATTTCCGTAGAACTCTGCTGAACTTTACCATTAACTCTGCTTATGATCTCTTTTCCCCCCAAATAGAAGAAATTTATATAAAGAACAAAGTTATACTTTTTGGTGTGAAAAATATATGGGGGGAGGGTCAGAAAATTAGGCCCAGTATCATCCCTGTCACTAAATTTCCCTTTTTTATAATTTTTATTGAAAGTTTTGATGACAATAATAATAACTAATACAAACTAAAATAGAACCAAAAAAAAAAGAATGAACAGGGGAGGAAAGAAAAAGCTAAAATGCAGAAATAAAAAGTAGAAGAAAAATAGAAAGAAGACAAGATATAAATATATATAATGTGACTTCCAAACTTAACAGCAGTTATAAGTACAATTACATTTTAACCTTTCTCATTACAGCATGACTCTCTTTTTTTCTATATTATACCTCGTCAAATCTTCAGAACCATAATTCATAAGATCATTTTTTTTCTCTTATATACAAAGCCCATGAGGAATTTTCAATCACCAGTAATATAAATATTCTTTTCTTTAATCAAACAGGTCAATTTAGCTATTTCAGCAAATTCTATCATCTTCCTCAACAATTCCTCCATTGTATATTGTGAAATATTTCCATCTTTGTGCAAACAAATAATCTTTTCCACCAGGATAAAATTCTGGTTTCAATTGAACGTTAATCTTTAAAATCTTCTGAATCACTTTATATATTTGAGTCCAAAATTTTCTAGCACTTTACACATTCACCAAGCATGATAAAATGACCCTACTTGTTGTTTACATTTCCAACATAAATTTGAAACACCAAATTCTGACTAATTTTTCGGGTGACATATACCAACAGTACATTATTTACTAAACATGCTCCTTAAGATTAGAACGTAATGTAAATTTCAATGATCTGTCACTAAATTTCCCAAACTGTTTAAACAGAGTAATATTACTGCAGCATGGCACATAAATATTTTACATCAAAGTTACTGAAAAGGAGAAAAGTTACTGAAAAGTTCAGAGAACTTTTGAAAGATAATATCCTGCAATGTTACAACCCTGAGAGAGACTTTTTTGTAATCAAGAATGGATGGAAATATATAGTAATAAATAAACTAAAGCTACTGTCTCCTTTCAATATTAGCTGCTATTTTCAAATTCTCGTAACACCTTTCCTATATGCATTTTTTAATGTAATAAACTATTATTAAAAAAATAATATATTTTCTTGTCTAGCCCTTCAAGGTCCAAAACAATTACAGCTTAATTTATATTTCTTTCAGGGACAAGTACACTTTTTATGTGTCCATGCACTGCTTTCTCATTCATTATAAAGGGTATACAGTATCTTACAAAACATAACATGAAGCTTCAGACCCCACACGTGTAAGGTTCAAGCTGACTGTTTTATTTTTCTTTGCCTATTACTCAGGAATCTGCCCAGACTTGCTTTCCCATGAGAACTATTACCGGTAGATAAGGGTCTAAAGCATTCAGAGAAGGTCAGATCTAACCCTCTTGTGTTTACATAGAGAGTATAGGGTAATTCCATGCTTGAGCCCACCCCCACCCCCCAAAAATAGGATGGTTGCTCTCCAACACAATCAATGGAAAAAGTTCCTCTTTTTGCTGAGCAGATTTCCTGATCTGCTCAGCAAATCTGGAGTAAAACAGTTTTTGTCAGAGTGTCATTAATGACAAACTGCAAACAGCATTGACCTGCATAAAAGTGCTATAAACTATTTTTTTTTCTTTCATAAATAAAATAAGGTTCTTCGTGTCTAACACAATACCACTGAAAAAGAAAAACAAGAAATCCAAGAAGAAACTAGCATGGTTGCACAAAGACCTTTCTGATAAACTGAAAGACAAAAAGAAGAAGTACAAAAAATGGAAAGAGGGACACATAACTAAGGCAGACTATCAGCAGATAAAGAAGTCAGGGAAGCAAAGGTTCAGAATAAATAAAGATTTGCAACAAAAGTCAAAGATTTTTTTAAAAAAGTCTTTAACATATAAATAACAAGAAAAAAGTCAAGGAAACAGTTGGTCCACTAAAGAGTGAAGATGCAGTAGAGAGGAAGTAGAGCTGCTTAATTCATACTTTGCATCAGTCTTCACGCAAAAAGAAACTATGGCCCAACCTACCAAAAAGAACTGTAAAAAACAGATTAGAAATAAAAATTAAAATAAGCAAGAAAATGATATGAGAACACCTGTCTGACTTCAATGAATAAAAATCACTGGGACCTGGTGGATTACATCCCAGAGTTCTGAAGGAGCTGGCAGATGTTATCTCAGAATCATTGTAGCACATCTTTAAAAAATCTTGGAGCACTGGGTAACTACCAGAGGATTGGAAAAGAGCTGATGTGGTTCCCATCTTCAAAAAAAAAAGGGGGAGGGGGGTGAAACAGACCCAGGAAACTATAGACTAATCAGCCTAACATCAATACATGGGAAGATACTGGGGAGAAGGGGAATAAAAAACCAAACATCTAGAAACAAATAAATTTATAACTGCTGGTAGTAGCCAGCACATATTTGTTAAAAACAGATTATGCCAAACCAATCTTATTTCTTTCTTTGACAAAGTCACTAAATTAGTAGACCAGCAAAATGCTGTGGATATAGTATATTTAGACTTCAGCAAGGCATTTGACAAAGTAGACCACAACCTACTTCTTCTCAAGCTAGAAAAATGTGGGATAAACAGCATCACCACCAGATGGATTTGTACCTGATTGACAAACCATATTCAACGAGTAGTCCTTAACTATACTACATCTACATGGAGCTAAGTAAGCAGTGGGATACCATAAGGTTCCATCGTAGGCCCAGTACTCTTCAATATCTTCAGAAACGACTTAGATGAGGGAATAGAAGAGGAACTCATCAAATTTGTAGATAACACTAAGCTGGCAGGAATAGCCAACACCCTAGAAGACAAGCTCTATCCAAAAAATGGGCCCTATCCAACAAAATGAGATTTAATATGGAGAAAAGCAAGGTTTTGCACCTGTGCAGGAAAAACCAAAGGTATAAGCAGTGGTGGGTTGCTACCAGTTTGCCCCAGATTGAGTGAACCGGTAGCGGGGGTGGCGGGAGGCTCCGCCCACCCTCCTGGATGCTTCTACCCATGCATTGCACATGCACGAGTGCGTCATGCCCACGAAGCAAAACGATAGCGACAGGTTTTGAAACCCGCCCCTGGGTACAAGTATAGATTAAGCGAAACCTGGCTCAAAAACAATAACTGTGAGAGGGACCTAGTGGAATCCTAGTGGACAATCACTTAAATATGAACTAGCAGGGTGCAGCAGTAGCCAAAAAAGCTAATACAATCCTGGATTATAAACAGAGGCATAGAATCAAAATCACATGAAGTATTAGTACCGCTTTAAAAAGCTTTAGTAAGGCCACATCTGGAATATTGCATCCAGTTTTGTTCACCACATTACAAAAAAGATGTTGAGACTTTGGAAAAAGTGCAAAGAAGAGCAACAAAGATGATTAAAGGCCTAAAGACTAAAACATATGAAGAACGATTGCAGGATTTGGGTTTGGCTAGTCTAGAGAAAAGAAGGACTAGTGGGGACATGATAGCAGTATTTCCTAACTTACCAGCAATTTATGCAAACCTATATAGAAGAATCAGCATCTTATATACTCATGCCAATTGATAAAAAATATCTATAATTCAGATTTAAGTGTTCATCTCCTAGACCTGGCCAGTTCCTTCATTTGTCCAGGTTTCATTCACCTTAGTGATTTTCAAGACTGTACATTGGTTATAATTTCCCTGAAACCGTACCCATTTTTACACAAGATCAATATAAGGGAAAACATTGAAAAGATAGATGCCAAAGCTTTATTATTGCTCTAAGGAAGAGCAGATACACTTGAAAGTGTTTTTCCATTAGATACCAACTATTAAATCATTTTAGTCATTTTATTCATCACAAAAGAGAATACAAATGTAGGGAGAGTGTTTCTGGATGAGACCAAAGGTCCATCTTAACATCCTGCTTTTTAAGCCAGATAGATGACTTTTCATTTAATGTGAAAACCTAGAGTGCTTTTATATAGTTGTTTGGATGACTTAGCTAAGAGACACCTGGTTATGATAAAACTGAAGTTGCTGAAACTTTCAAATGCAAAAACATGGATAGCAAGGTAAATATTTAGTGCTTACGTTGGACATTTTCTGATGGAGGGAGTTCTGAAATGGGATCTGAGCCAAGCGTAGCTGGTACATAAGCTTTGTTAGAAGGCTTCTGGGAGAAAAGCATGGCATGTGAAATGCGCCGTCTAGTCCGGCGCGCAATTTCACGTTCATTATGCATCAGTTGTTCATCTTTTAAAATAGCAAGAACTTGCTTAGCCTTCTCCCTTACATGGAAACCTGTTGAAAAGGAAATATTGACAAATTTGTAAAGCTTACTAATGCCTTCTATGGTTACTATATTTGTTAGGACTTTATGGATTTGGAAAATGCTGAAATGCCAGTAATGTAAAGAAATTTATACCTAGGGCAATTATCTTGTTTTTCAAATCATAATCACATCATATACATGCCTCTAATAAAAACTGGGGGTTTTTTTTCTAACAAGCATTTGTTAAACTACCCCAAGGATTATATGATTCCTTAGCTAAAGTAGTGTTATGAGAAACTGCCATTTTTAGAAATAGGGGATGTCATGCAAATAGAGATTGAAATGTTATTCTCTGATATTGTAAGACATATGCTAATGTCTTAAAGATGCTTTCTCAAAAGGCAACTGGACTTTCTTAGTTTTATTTTTCCTTGAAGACTTTTGAAGAAGCTTCATTGGGTCTGGCAAGACGATGTGTGGGGAAGGGGGTGGGGAATGGAAGGGTTCATTCTGACAGGATTGGGAGGTGGAAGGAACATATTTCTTTGCAATCAACTGGTCATTAGCACGCTCTCTGAGAGCCACTGAGGCCACTTGAAGATTTATCTGTACCCACAAGGTCACCTCAGTAAGAGGGCAAATAGGTGTGGAATCTTCTTGGAACTGCCAAAAGGATTGTGTTGTAGACAGGAGATAGGTAGTGTCTTATCCTTTCTATCTATTGCATGGTATCCTAAACATTGTACATGATATTACATGGTATCATAAACACTGTAAAATGCACATGCATCAATTAGTGGATATTCTTCTACTATAGTTTGTAATCCAACCTAAAGCAGAATATCATAGACTTACATAATTAAAATTTGGTAATAAGAAATGAAACTATTTTATTGAAATAGTTATTAAGTAAGTATCCTGATATAATTATTTATAGATCAGTTCTAATAATCAGAAACTAAAGAGCAACTGCATCTTGCAAGACAATGCAATAATTTATTTAAAAGGCACTGTGCCATTTATGTCAACAGGAAATAAAACAATAATACAGTGCATGGTTTTAGTGTTATAAATAAACAAAGGAGTTGTTCTTTTGTTTTACAATATGGATTTTTTTTCTCTTGTAAATCACATAAATAAAAATAACTGACATATGTAAATCATTAAAATTAAATTACTAAAAACTAAAATTAAGAATACCATGTTTGCTATACGATACAGAGATCTGACTGGTTTTGCTGTTAATTAAGAATTAATAGAGTCTTTCTTTTAATTTTGCATGGTGCCTAATTAGTCTACATGGCTTGTTGCCTGCCAAAAATAACCTTATAAATCCAATCAATGCCATATATGCAGTTTGTAAAGTGATGATGACACCAGCAAAAAACCAGTCTTCACTATCTATAATCTCTTGAATGATGTATGAGATTCGAGGATGCCAGTAGTGAGGAGAAAGATAGGATATTGCACACAAAGACAGATCAGTGGGAAGAGAAAAGAGAAGGATCATAGCATGACAATTATACAGTACTTTTGCACACATTTGAAAAGCCTAGTCATGATTGGTTTCACTTCTCCAAAGAGTTTTGCTTTTGCATCAAAAATATTTCATCCTTAACTTCATTATTAATGCTTTCAGTGAACTGTCTTGTCTTACTAACTAGCACCAAATGATTTTACCTTCCTGCTATCCTGCTGTATATTCTCAACCATTTTCCCCAACACTATAATTCAAAGACATAATTTTTTCCTCATTTAACCTTTCTGACTGTCTGGGCGAGAGCAGTGCCTTAACAGTACATACTTTTGTTAGCAGTTTATCTACACTTTTAATATTTTGCCTAGATTTATCTTAGATTTTATCTTAGTTAAATCTTTAAATCTTTCTTTCATATTGTAGTCAACATCTGTGTGGAGTTTTAAGTCCAGAAATATAAAATGTGTAATTCCTTCCACTACTTTACCAGTTGGTATTTAGCTGACACAAGCAGTTGACCTAATCTTAGGTTTTCGTTCTTACTATTAGGCATCAGACTTACTTTTGCACTCTCATCTTTTACCTTCAAGGAATACCACTAGATGGTAACAAAAAGATAGAGAACACACTATCTTTTTACTGCCATCTATTGGTTCTCCAGGGGTTTGCAGTTCATATCTGGTATCCCTACCCAATACTAATGACAAACACATCCATTTAATTTTAATGGATATATCCAAGTACTTTTAATCTTACCTTGATCTTTTCCTGCTTCATCTAGATGATGAAAATCTTTTAATATCTGAATGTTAAAGAAACCCTCTTGACAATGTTGTATGACTTTCTTTGATCCATTCTTGAGGAGATAGTCCAAGAGTGTAAGAGATTTGTACACGTGCCTCCAGTTCTTCCCATGGTCATTCATCCTATGCCAGATCATGTTCATAATCTCACAAAGGGAAATTGTGTTGTATGTCAGGTCACTTATCTCTAACATTAGAGAACTAGAAGGGCCCCAAGGGTCATTAGAAGTTGCTTCTCTGACTTTTATCTCAGCTTCAGAATAATTTTTCACAAGGTTTTTTACATGCCTTCTGAGTGCCATGAATGTAGCAAATTGTTGTTTGTGTTATTAAGCAGATGGGAAGCATTAAAGGATTTTTTCTATGATTGCTTTTTCTCTTTCCATTTTCCACTGCAGTAACCACTAGAATTCTGTAGGTAAAATAGCAGAAAATTTATGTCACCAATCAGAACTATACCATACAACAGGAGTCCCCAACCCCAAGCCACAGACATGTACTGGTCTATGGCCTGTTGGGAATCGGGTCGCACAAACAGCGGGTGAGCACGTGAAGCACATGAGAACTAGGTTGCGCAGTGGGCACACAAAACCATTCCCTCCCACCCCCGCCGCCCCCTTGCTGGTGCTGGTCCCTGGAGCCAGAAAAGTTGAGGACTGCTGCCATACAAAATTTTCAAAGAGATTTAATATGAAATACTTATCTTTTTTTTCAACCATTAATCAGAAGTCCAATACAACAGCTATAATTAAGACTGTTCAATTGATGGAAAATAAAAACTGAACGAGTGCATGGTACTGGTTTTTATTCTTTGTTTTAATTATTAAGTCCCCAGGTTAGATATGAGCTAAAAAAATGGAATGTATAATTATGTTTAATCTTAAATTCATGATATGAATCAACATTATACATCTGGTTTGTTTCATAATCCTACAGGTAAAAGGTTATGGAAATGCGCTCAAATGGTGCAAGATACTTCTTCCTCTCTTATTCACAAGTCCCTTATATGCCCAAATCAGGTAAAATATGGATTAGCATTAACCAGTAGTAGTTGTAAAAGGAACAAACCTATGGCATATTCTCAATGGTTTAGTAGATCAGAAATTATGTCTCTGTGTGTATACACACAAACATAGACACAAAAGAGTATCTAAAATTCTAGTGCCTGCTGGGTGACTTATTCATATGCACATTTACTGGTTAAAAAGCAGTATTTAATGCCCCACTAAATAATTACAATTTGAAAAATGCAGTTAGGAACAAAATATTAGAGTATGAATCGAGGAGTTATAATTCTCAAGCAAAGCAATTGAGAAATGCTGAAAATTTTTGGGCCTCTGCAGTAATATTAAATATTCTGAGGGGCTCTAAAGTAAAGAAGAAAAAGAAAGAAGAAAAAGTAGAGCCCATTTGCCTGACGGCCTCTGCAGGACTATGAAAATATTTAATCTACACTGATTAGCTTAATAATTGGAATTCACAGCTAGTGCCAGCAACCAGGAGAGCATTTTTGTGCTACAATGATGCCTTTAAGGACATCGCAGACTCTAAACAGCTTAAATCATTGTGAAATATCTGGTACATCTTTATGAAAATTTCACTACTTCTTCCTTCCTTCTCTTCATTAATTAGCATCAAGATGTGTAAATCTCTAAAGAGTTCCTAAATCTCTATAGAATATTGCTATAATCATATATCAAATTGATTTCAAGCTCTATCAAGTATCATTCTTGGTCAGAGACAAAATTTATAATCAGATTTTACACACCCAAATGTCAAATATTACAATTCATAATAAAAATGTTCATTTTCTACATCACATATCATAATATTGTTGCCCTGACAGTTAAAGTACTGTTTAAGAATGGTTTATGATCAAAATCTAGAGGTATTTGAAGCAAGAAATCAAAATATTCCTTTTTATATTTTGATCCTTTTTAATCAAAGAATGTATAAAACAGTTCAAAAATATGTAAAATCAACATTGCCAAAGGTAAATCCCCAGCTCCATGAAGCAAGAGAGTCTATGGATTAGCACTATTTTATCATTTGCCAATTCTTCCTTTTATCTGTACTTCACCTACAGTCTGTTTTGCTTTGTATTACTCACATAGAGAAAAATTATTTGATAATGTACTTCAACAAATCTATTAAAACTTTCATCAAAAAATTTGCAATTGCTTTAATGTGCATCAATTTCTCACTGCCGAGAGAATCTCACTTTGGCACTGGTTACATTACACAGCAGCAAATATTGATCAGGGATCTTTCCACAAATTGCATATAACGATTGTGATATAAATAGAAACTTGACCCTTTTGCTTTTTCTATGTGTGTCTGTTTTTGGTCAATCTCAATCCCAACTTGTTTTGATTTTCAACAGAGTGCTTTGATTTCCTTTTATGGAATTGATGCCAAATCTGCTACACCAATCACTATGTAGTATAATACTGTAGAGCTGGATTTCAATCAATTCAAAATTCAAATGATGTAATAAAATCGATTAAAAATAAAACAGCAGTGTTGCAATATTTTCAGGATCAGACTCAATAAAGATAATAGAAGTTAAAGCTTTAAATATATTTCTTTTTAATTATGATAGGCATTCTATATTCACTGAATATTCAAGGTAGAAGCGACGAGAATGGTGAGGGTGGCTCCTTATATATACAAGGGGTGGAGCTAGGAATGGGAGTGGTAAGTTATGAATACATTAAAGTCCAAAGAATAAGTTAACCTCTGATGTTCCATATATACATTATTTACACATTGGAGAATAAGGCATTTACATCTGACAAATCCCCCTCTAAATGCCGGTTCGTTACACAACACCAATTACATTCTGATTCAGGACAATATAATACATATAATTTAGAAGTTAAATATTTGTGTTGTTTAGAAGGTAAGGGTTTTGTTAATATGTCAGCTAATTGTTCAGAAGTATCGCAATGTATTGCTTTAATGAATCCGTCTTGAGACAGTTGTCTCACATGCTTAAACTTTATATCAATATGCCTGGACCTTTGTCCAATTGCATCGGATCTGGATATTTCAATGGCCGCTTTATTGTCTTCATGCATAATAAATGGTAAGGTGGGTTTCTTCCAAACATCAGTGATCAGATCATTGAACCATACAAGGTTATTTGCAGCTTTGGACAAACAAACATATTCCGCTTCTGTAGTAGAAGTGGCTACTAGTTCTTGTTTACCAGTATACCAGTAAACTGGACAATCATTCAATAGAAAAACATAACCAGAAGTACTCTTTCTGCATGATGTATCACCAGCCCAATCTGCATCAGCATAACAAGTAATTTTTGGTTCTCTGTCATTATTGGGTTCCAACATTAAACAAAAATCTAATGTACCCTTCAGATATCTTAGAATTCTTTTGACAGCTTCCCAATGATACAAGGTTGGTTTACTAACATATCTTGACAATAGATTGAGAGGTAATGCAATATCTGGCCTAGTCCAATTAGATATATAAAGGAGTGAACCTATAACTGATCTGTAAAATGTGTTGTCTTTAAACTCAGGGGAAGATTCATCAGTGTTTCTAAGAAAATCAGTTTGCATAGGGGTGTCACAGGTTTTAGCATTATTTAAGTTACATTTGTTTAGGAGTTCGATGATTTTATCTTTCTGTGTAAGTTTGAATCCCCTTTTAGTTTTGTTAATTTGCACACCAAGGTATTTATTCACTTTACCCAGAGATTTCAGTGAGAAGTGTTCATTTAACTTATTTACAAAGATTTCCCTGCTCTCTTTATGCTTTCCAATGTATAAAATATCGTCCACGTAAATTAATACAAATTCAATATGATCATTACTCTTTTTTACAAAGAAACAGTTATCAGCAGTGGTGGCGTTGAAATCCATGGTCTTAAGTACTTTTACCAAGCAATCGTACCATCTTTTGCCGGATTGCTTTAATCCGTACAGACTCTTATTTAATAACCAAATTTCGTTCTTATTAGTGTATTGACTGTGTGGTGCTCTTACATATATTTCCTTATCTAATTTTGCATGTAAGTATGCGGTCTGTATGTCATATTGGAATACGTCCAGATTGAGTGCAGATGCTACTACAAGGGCTGTTTTGACACTCTCTGTTCTCACTGTGGGTGAATATGTATCAGTATAGTCTTCTGGATATTTTTGTGCATAGCCTTGTGCAACTAGTCTAGCCTTGTATAAGGTATTGCCTCCTTCTAAGTTCTTAATTTTATAAATCCACCTGGTACCTATAATTGTTTTATCCTTAGGTGCGATCGCAGGTGTGAATACATTTAATCCTTGTAAACTTTCCATCTCTTTTTCCATAGCTAGTTCCCATTTTTCTCTTTCTTCATGTGGAAGTTTCAATACTTCTTCATATGTATTAGGTGTTATTTGTTCTCCATTCATATGCATTATGTAATCTTTGTATTTATTTGGTATTTGGTTTCTATTGTTTCTAATAGTTCTTTCAGGCTTGCTATGGTTATCATGCAAATATCTAGCTTCCTTTTTTGTTAATGTGTCTGTCTTTATTTTATGCTGACTATTAGTCCAAGTTTTGGTTTTGTTCTTACTTTTGTTAATATTTTGATTTTCTGTTGTTCCTTCCTCGCAAGATATCGTATCTTTACATTTATTAGGAAATATTTCATTAAGGTGCAATTTTGACCAATTGGCCTGTTCATGGAACACAGCTGTTCTGGATACTATAAATTTGTTATTACTATCAATAAATCTGTACCCTTTGGTTCCAGTTTCGTATCCCATGAATCTTAATCTCCTGGATACGTTTTCTCCCTTTCTCCTCAATTGTTTAGGTATGTGTACGTCTGCAGTGACTCCAAATATGTGCATGTGTGATAATTTGGGTTTTCTATTGTACATCACCTCATATGGTGTCTTATTCACAATACTGGACCAGGTTCTATTTTGAGTGTAATTCGAATAATGTAATGCCTCTGACCAAAATTGTTTGCCTAAACCAGCATCCTCTAATGTGCACCTAATCATGGTTTGTAGTGTGGAATTTTTCCTCTCTGCAACTCCATTTTGAAATGCAGAAAAAGGATTGGACGTGAAATGTAACATTCCTCTATCCTTTAACCATTGGGAGAATTCTTTAGACATGAACTCACATCCCCTATCTGTCATAATTTGCTTTATTCTGATATTATGTTGTGTTTCTATACGTTTGTAGAATTCCTTAAATTTCTGAAATGTTTCATCCTTGTGCTTTAATGTGTAAACAAAACCATATCGGCTGTAGTCATCCACTATTGTTAGGAAGTAACGTTTTCTATAGGTAATTGAGGGACTTAATGGACCAACTAAGTCCATATGTACCAAATCAAAAATATTGTTAGTTGATCTGTTAGATTTTTTTGGTCTGGGACTGGTTTTTAGTTTGGTGGACTTACATACTGAGCATTCCAAATAATTTTCACAATTTTTTATTTTGACACCTTCTGCGTGTTCAGTCATTTTTTGTACTACAGGAAAGCTTGCATGTCCTAACTTCCTGTGTAAGATGTGAGCACACTCATCATGAATTGGTTTACCTATTTTTGGTTTCTTTTCCTTGTATGTGTTTTTGTGATCATGAGTTATTCTACACTCATCATTGTCACTGTTACTGACATTTTCATCATCTGCTTCAATACAATCTTCCATATTTGAATCAATGTTATGTAAACATCTTTCTTTAGTTATCAGATAGGGTAGACCTCCTTTTATCATTACAGTACCTACATTTGTTTTGTTCTTTTCTATAGTTGCTTTCCCCTTTGAGAAAACTATATTGATATCAGATTCTCTGCTTAATTTTATGGCACTTAGTATGTTGTGAGGTATTTCTGGGATTAATAATACCCCCTCTATTTTCCCTAGACCAGGCAAGGTCACATTTCCTTTGCCTAGTACTTGAACCTTTTCTTGATTAGCTACCTTTATCACAAACTTATCTTCTATAAATGAAGATAATATACTTTTGTTGTTGGTGGTGTGATTTGTTGCACCAGAATCAATAAGCCAATTGTTATTCTCATCCTGCTGTGTTCTGGTGCTGTCTTGTTTATTTAGCCCATTCAGTGACCCAGATTTCCTCTCTTTTGAATTTTCTCTACCCCCTCTACCTTCTTTGTAATTTGGTGGGCTTCTATATTTGTGTCTATCTGTGGAAGATTGTCTGTAATTATATTTGCTCCTATATTCTGGTCTATGTCTCTCTCTTGAGACTTTGGGGCAGTCTCTTCTACTATGTTCCCTGGATCCACAATTGTAGCATCTAAAGGCCTCATTATGTTTATCTCGAAAGACTACTTTCCTAAAAGGTTTGTGGTCTGTTTGGTTACTGGATCGATTTTTTCTTGAATTGTCTTCTGCTATCAATTTGTTAGATAGACTTTCTATGGATAAATATCCCAAATTAATGGTATCTAAGTGTGACATAAAGCTATCCCATGATGGATCAAGTGAATTGATAATAACACTTTTCATTGTTTGATCTGAAATCACTTCCCCCCTCAATTGTAGCTCAGCTCTTATTTTGTTTAGATTTATCAAATGCTCACTTATAGAAACCCCTGGTTTTACTCTAGAGGAAAAGAAATCCTTAGACATTCTTGTGGTTGTAGCTACGCTATCGCTGTGAAATAGATTAAACATGCATTGAATTATTTCTGATACAGTTAGGTTTGGTTTGATGCTATGATACATTGCAGGAGACACGCTAGATATTATTATGAAAAATGCTCTATGATGTAAACAATCTATTTTTAAAGTCCAAGGTCTTCTTGGAGGGCTAGTTATAAAGAATAGTAAATTTTCTTTCATGAAAATAACCTGAAGCTGTTGATACCACTCTTGTAAATTAATGCCATCAATTCTAAGTTTTGGGAAGTCACTGGGTAAGTTACCTACATTATTCTGTCCATTACTTACAACCTGGGGCAGTCCGTGATCTCTCAAGTGCAGGAAATTACAGAACGGCATTGGGATGCTTGCAATGAGTCTGCGCGGTTCTCTGGCCAGTTCAAGTCCTTCTGGGTCGTCTACGTAGTTTCGCACATGCGCGTTGTTCATTTCTTCTTTGGTGGCGTCGTGGAAGGTTCTCTCCCTTTCAGCTCTCTCGATCCGCTCCTCCTCAGATGAGTCGGTCTCTGGCTCGGTTTTTGGGGTTCTGGTGGTGGTGACGGTTCTTTTCTTCTTTTTGTGTGCGTTGGTATTCGATTTTGTCTGTGGTGTAGGGCGAAATCGGCATGGCTCTCTGGGTTCGGGCGTCGTCGCTTTCGAAGTCAGGATGGGAGCGTGCAGGTCTTGAGTCGCCGGTTTGATTTCTTGCTTCTTCGTAGATGTCTTGGTAATTTTCAGTCTTGGCCCAAAAGCAGCAAAAAGCGTTTTCATTGCTGATTTTACTTGAGATTTTGTTAAATCGTCTTCACTTTCTGATTTTGGATCATCTGAAGAGTTTGAGACTTCTTTCTCACTTTCTTCGTCTGATAGTGTTTTTCGCGCCAGAAATTTTGAACTGAGCGTTTTGATTGGCTCTGCTCCATTCTCTTTTGAAGTTCGTTGAAACCAAGATGGCTGCCATTCAAAATTTCGCGCGGGATCACATCTTTTCTTTTTAACAACTATTTTCTCAGTAGTCATCTCACTTACGATTTTTTGATCTTTGGGTTTTTCTTTAATGACGTTTTTCTCTCTCGCTGCTCCGCTGTTCTTCAGCATCTCCTGGAGGTCCGCGATGAGACTTTCATCATTCTTTTGGCTTTTTAGTATCTTTAATATCTCTGACCTGAGTTCGTTATTTTCTATTTCGATTTCTTTCTGGTCATTATTTTCACTCATTAGTTCTTCTTCTTCAGTGGTGTATTCTTCGGATTCTCTCGAAATCGCATTGGTGGATTCGTTGATCATCTCTTGATCAGTTTCTATTTCTTTGCTGTAGGCCCTGGTGTTGGGCCTATCTTTCTTGGACATTTTTAATTACTTATTGAGTCAATTAACCATCCTCTGCTACCAGCTTGTTGCAATATTTTCAGGATCAGACTCAATAAAGATAATAGAAGTTAAAGCTTTAAATATATTTCTTTTTAATTATGATAGGCATTCTATATTCACTGAATATTCAAGGTAGAAGCGACGAGAATGGTGAGGGTGGCTCCTTATATATACAAGGGGTGGAGCTAGGAATGGGAGTGGTAAGTTATGAATACATTAAAGTCCAAAGAATAAGTTAACCTCTGATGTTCCATATATACATTATTTACACATTGGAGAATAAGGCATTTACATCTGACAAGCAGCATACTGTATATGATAGTTACAATCTCTAACAGCTGTAGCATCCCATTAAAACATACTTGCCAGAACTTTAGAGACTTAATGCTCCACCAAAAAAAGTTAAAAGATGTACCCAATCTTGGAGGTAAATTAGAAATTATTTGAATTTTAGGTACTCTCAAAGGCACTCTACTAAGATATCAAAATGTCTTAAAATAAGAGATAGCATCTCTTATTTTATCCCAGCCTCCCTTCCAAATCTATATACACTTTATGTATTAAGTAATAGTTTTACTAATACAAAACTATTGTACAGTGCTGTTATTATTTATCCATGACATAAGATGAATATTTTTTACATCACAAAAGGAAAATATAAAGCTACATACCCAATATAATTTCAAATAGAGGTCCATAAGGGGAGATTACATCTTGTCTCCAAACTACTAATCACAGTCCTATACAAAGTTTTCTATTCTATTAATCTTATCCTATTGTACCTGAGAAAACAATTCAGCTGTGACAGTTAAGCCATTTACATCTGTTTTTTAAACTGCCGTCAATCATTTGCAGAACCCACCTACGTCACCAATCAGAATGTTCCTACTATAGCCCCACCCCTTTCCTTGTTTCAAAGAGGTTTCTACCTGGACAATTATTGTTCTTAGGCCTATCATTTATCTAAGCCATCTCTACTGGTTACCAACTGTAGCTTTTTTTAAAAAAAACAGTTACTGTTTCTAAATAACTGTTTATTTTTCCTTATGCAAAAAAAAAAGGCCCCTTGCATCTGTGACCTAGATTGTATAATTTGTTAACCATGATTTATCTTTATTTCATATAATGAAACTCATTTATGATTTCTAGAATGCAAATCTAAATGAAATTTGTGGCTCACTTTGTAGAGGAATCAATAAAACGTATTTGTATATGTAACTCTTACTAACAGAAGTTTAACTGTGGTGTTGCTTTTAGATGGGAGACAGATTTGGCAAAGAATGCATAGTACTAGATAGAGATTTGGATTTAATAATTTTGGAAATTAAACCTGTTCTGTTTATCTATCATAGCAGTGATAAGTAGTCAATCTTGCACTGGATTCAATTTCCTTTCTATAAAATATAAATATTCATGTGTTGGCTGGGGACATCTGCTTTCTACTTTGCAGCACAGTATGTACAGGCAAACCTTGGATATTCATTTAAGTCAATAAATAATGTTTTAATTAATCATGTATTTGTGTGCTGTTGAGATCTTCTACTGTATGGAATTCACAGTTTTGTTTATTTGTCTATTCAAGTTTCTATGCCAAAAAAATCAGAAAACTTTGAGTGGCTTACAGTGTCTTCACATAAGCATTAAAGTGAAAATCATTCAAACTGTGAGCAACAGCAAACACTCGTAACATGTTTTTTCTCTAAAGCAGCAATGGCATCAACACTTTGGGAAAAATTAAACATTTCATCTCTTCCTCAAACGTCGTCTGGAAGAGACAAATCTTTAATGGCTTTCAAAAACTTAACCAAGAAGAAGCAGTCCTTACCTCTCAGAGGATTCTATCACTATAAAGGATCCTTTGCATACTTTTTCTTTCTGTTTTCATCAAATGGGCAGGTTCCACTTTAGCAACACATCTCTGAGATCCCCAAGCCAAACATTATGTAGGGTTTTAAAAGTAATAGTCAACATATCGAATGACACCCAGCATCCAAAGCAGCTCCTATTGTAGAACTGTCACATGGACAAATCTCATAGCAAGCATCCATAACTACCTGGGATACTTCTGAATCAGCTGCAGGTTCCAAGTGGTCTTCAAGGGCAATCTCATGTTAGCTGAAGAAGCTTCTTGGATGAGAAGCAAAACATCTTCAAAGAAAAAAAAATAGAAAGTCCAGTTGCCGCTTTAAAAAAAAAACACCTTTGGGAAAATTTAGGAGGAGTTAGGAGCACTAGAGAGCTGTAGGAGAGCATAAAGATTAGTATATAGCAGATTAAAACTATCACAGTACAAAGCATCTAGAAGGATGAGGTAGATGTTCATTAAGACTAGTTTATGGGCAGTTCATCATCTGATGTATTTTAAGTGTTGCTGCATAGAACCTGGCAACATTATATACTTCCTTGGCAAGGGAATATCTTGATCAAGGCAGGACCTCAATTGCATCTCTTATTCAGCCCAGAGTGATGATGTATAACTGGATATCATTAGCATATTGATATCTAGGAGGCTGCAATATCAACCCTGTGGTGAGACTGACTTGGGTGGAGATGAAGCTGTGCAGCATAGAAGCTAATCACTCCCAGCTTGTCTTGTGAGATCAATCTCTTGTCATCACTTTGCATTTGCGTTTCTGTAACATTTTCTCTCTAAAATTATACCCTCCTAATTTCCTAGATGTAAATATAAATAATTTCCCCATTATGTAAACCCATGTTTAAATAAATTCATTTTCAAAAGTGGACAGACAAAAAAGAACTTTATTTCCTCCATAACCACTTTAAGTTCACTCTGACTAAATTTTTGCTACTCAGCACTATTTGGAACATCCCACACTAAATTGCCCAGGAGCTCAACCTTTTCTCCCTCATCAAACCAACTGGAGCTCCCCACACTGCAAAGCAATGCTTCCAACCTTTGCAGATAGCCCAGAAGAATACTATGGTCATTTGCCAAATTCATGACTCCACCAGACGAACTTTCTCAAAATTCAGAACTGGCTCTGTTTTTTTTATTACCTCAGTCTTCCTTTATCATTTCCTAGCCCTTGAGCACCCTTAAGTTCTTTTTGAATGTCTGCTACGGCTTAATTATGTTGGTGAAAAAATATAGGCAACTTTAACTAGGGAGCAGGATATCAATCATTGCAATAACTTCTTAGTTAGTTTCACAATATCCGTTAGAGGCTCGGTTTTGCCATAAGAGGGAAGAAGCAGTATAAAGCCATGGAACTAATGAAATATTTTAGAGTTTCACTATCTATCGTCATTATTTCCCAACTTTATATTTGTTGCTTGCATAAAGCAGTGTGCATGGAATTGTTGCCTCACTCTACCTCTCAGCTGAAATGAGCTTTTCTTCTCTCTCATCCTCTGCTCCATTTGCAGAAAGCTCTCTGCTACAAGCTTCAAGCAAGGTTAGAGCTATTCTTCCAACTAACAGAGAGTTTTAAATAGCAACAGGAGGAATGGTGTGTGATAGGAAGTTGACTTTTTCCTATTACAACTTGACCTGCATTTACTTTTGCAAAAGACATACAATGCATATCAAAGCATATACTAGCAGAAGGGTAATAACAATGTATTCATTTTATAATGTCTGTTACTTAGGCAGATAGCACTGCTGTCATAGTTTGGAGGGGTAGGACATTAAATCCAATTTTCTGAGCTTCTTATTGCTTAGCTAGAGAGATCAGTTGCCTATTCTCAGAGCTTTGAGGCCAGCGCTGAAGATGCTGAAATGGTTTATGAATTGTCAGGTAAAAATGCAGTGAAATTCTGAGATCTTGCAATCCCAGAGCATCTTTTGAACTGTCACAGAGTCCTTGTACAAAAGTGGCTACATACATGAATGTAATTAATATCTCTAATTTTAATCAGGTAAATAGCAGCTTTGAGAAGAGTGGAAAAAAGGATTAGGATTACAGAAAGGATTAATCTCTTCTCCATTTACAGTATCCATTCACATAGTTGTTATTAGTTCCACGAAGACCCATTGCCAGTCAGAAATAGAAAAATACAAATGCATACAATAGCATTAAAGAAGCAATACAACCTCAACATAAATAAGCATTGATAAAGCCTGTAAATTATTTCATAAAGAGAATTTAAAAACAACAACAACCATGTCACTTGGAAGTTTTCTTCTTTGCCTCTCATCTATTCCAATCTATCAAGAGTGCCCTTTTTCTAAAGAACAAATAATAGTCTAGGTTAGTTGCCTTCAAGTCCTGCTTATGCACTTTCTAGAAATATAACACTGCTCAAGATTACATAGATACTTGATCTTTTTCATGACCAGCTTCTTCCTTTTAAAATCACTAAGAGAACCTTAGTTCTCTAAGAGAAGGCAGACTGGAGAGCAGACAGGCATTGCTTCCCTTTCAGCATGTATTACCCACAAATTCTTTAACACTGTTTTCCCAAGACAAAACTGTAGAACCGCACTGGAACAAACCAAACTTCTACCTAATCCAGCAATTCTTTTCCAAGCTGATCAACCGTATGTCTACAAATACAACCATCTTATCCTGCTTAGGTTTTGTTTTAGCAGTTAATAGTCAATTCTTAACTATTTGCAAAAATAAATAAATAAAAGGGACTTTATTGCAAACAGTTAATAGCTGAATATCAATTGCTAAAAAGTATTTTAATTTGGATAGAATTGGAACTCTGTGTGTGTGTGTGTGTGTGTGTGTGTGTGTGTGTGTGTGTATACACACACACATACATTACAAACTATTCTAAAAATACAAGTTCCAAGTATATTAGTAAAGAAAAAGCAGACATTCTGCGAGCTCTGGAACTTAAAATTTTAAAATATTTTTTTTTTATTTTACTAAGCTTTCGTAAGCCATCTGCTGACATTGTCAGAGTATTAAACTACCATTAAAGAGATCTCTGCATTTATATGCCATTAATCAATTTGGCCATAGCCTGGAAGGGCCTATTATGCGTGCAATGGGTAAATTGATTAATGGCAATAAAGGCAGAGATTTCTGTAATGGTAGTTTAATACTCTGAAGATGTCAGCAGATGGCTGACGAAAGCTTAGTAAAAAAATTTTTTAACTTTTTTTTAATTATTTTAAAATTTTAAGTTCCGGAGCTCGTAGAATGTCTGTTTCTTTCTTTACACACATACATATGTATACACATATACACATATGTACATGCATACACACACACACAACATATAATAATTTCCTCATACATATGTTGTGATTCTGTGTGATTTAAATGCCCTAATTGGCCATAATAATGAAGCACTGATAATCAAATTCCTTTGCTTATTTGCCAAATTTTGGGCAAGTGGATTGTATAAAAAACAGTCAAAAGATCAAAACTTCAACTATGCAGGCTCTTGTTTAGCTATTCTTTATAATATATTACATTTAATAATGGGTAATAGGCCCTGGAAGGGCCTATTATGCGTGCAATGGGTAAATTGATTAATGGCATATAAAGGCAGAGATTTCTGTAATGGTAGTTTAATACTCTGAAGATGTCAGCAGATGGCTGACGAAAGCTTAGTAAAAATTTTTTTTTAACTTTTTTTAATTATTTTAAAATTTTAAGTTCCGGAGCTCGTAGAATGTCTGTTTCTTTCTTTACACACATACATATGTATACACATATACACATATGTACATGCATACACACACACACAACATATATAATTTCCTCATACATATGTTGTGATTCTGTGTGATTTAAATGCCCTAATTGGCCATAATAATGAAGCACTGATAATCAAATTCCTTTGCTTATTTGCCAAATTTTGGGCAAGTGGATTGTATAAAAAACAGTCAAAAGATCAAAACTTCAACTATGCAGGCTCTTGTTTAGCTATTCTTTATAATATATTACATTTAATAATCTTAAATGGTACAACAGTCCATGATCATTCTAGTAAATTCACATTTACTTGTGAGTAGGAAGCAACTGTGATAGATTATTGTTTAATACAGGTAGTCCTTAAATTACCTGTATTGGGGAATTGGGAGTGGAATTTCTGTTGCTAAGTGATGTGGTTGTAAAGCATGACTACATCCTTAGCAATGGAAATCTCTGCAATCCCAGCAAGTAAAATAGCTGTTGCCAGATAGAGGAGTGAAGGAGTACATGAGCATGCAAGTTGGGAAGGGTATGCAAGGATGCAAGTGGTGCACATGAGGAGCCACACAGGTCAGGGAGAGTGTGCAAGGAAGGGGCATGATGTGGGTCAGGGAGGATGTACAGGGGTGTATAAGAGTTACCACATGGATTGTGTACAGGGATGTGTGAGATGTGCATTTTTCTTGTCAGAAGCTACATGACTGCGGGATGTTGTGAATGTAATTGTCAGCTGGTTACCAGCCACCCAAATTGCTGTCCGATGGCTGGTGGGTATGCAAAAATTCATTGGCTGAATGAATATTTAACCAAGGACTACCTGTACTAGTAACTTTCAAATATCAAATAGTTATCTTTGGGGAAATGTCTTTCCTGTTGGCAATTCTAAGTACCTCTATAAAAAAAAAATTTTTTTTAATAAGAATGGTTTTCTGGTTGTTTTTTATTGGTGCTTGGTTTTTTCCTTTGTTTTTGTTTCTTTTTTTCTTCAGGTTTTTTTTTCTCTATTTCCTATTTTCTCTGTTTTCTCTATTTCCCTCTAGTCATATTCCCTGTCAACTTTGGAATAAAACAATAATGAAAATGCAAATACTAAAATAAAAGTGTCAGAATCATAAAAACAATCAAAATAGCAAGATGAAAACCTCATCTAAAAAGTTTCAGGAAACTGAAAAAAAATATTTTGCTACAAAGCAGATACCACTTAAATCTCTCTGAAGAAAACATTTTACACTTCAGGCTCAAATTACTTTTGGAGAATCAGAGGCAGGATCCAATTGCCTTGACTGCTAACTGGCAATATACTGTTCCCTTTCTTCTTGGGAATAAGGAGCAGTCCTACTATTTAAATAGGATAGCTGAGATTATTTTGAAATCTTTCTGTCTAAAGGTCTTAATCATACTCATGTCAAAAGCACCGAGATGCTTCTGGATTGAAAGGATTAGCTGGTGATATCACCATTGCCCAGGTGGTGCTCACTTGGGGGCTCCTTTCATGTCCCTGGCAGGAGCTGGAGCGAAGGATAAGAGCTCACCCCACCCCACAGCAGCACTGGAGTTTTGAACACAGACTTGCTAACCTCCATCCCAGCATCCTAACCATGTGAGCTACCATGCTCCTTAAGGTCTTAATTTTATTGTGCATCATTGCCTAAGAGGAAATTCTATATAGGAAACCACAGAACATAATGCAATTCTGGGCATAAAGAAATTTCTCAATCACACAAGCCTGCAAAATGACGTATTATTTGAAAAAGAAAGAAAGAAAACCACAAGTTTTAACTAAGCCTCTACTGAACATTTCAGTTTTCAATGTCTTGTGGTTTGCATCTTAATTGTATGACAGGCGGAAGTTTAAGTTGGAGGGGAATATCAGTGATAAAAGCCTCATGAATGATTCTCAAAGTTCAGTTAGTCAAGAGCAAGAAATTTTCTCATGTGTTATGGAACACAACTCCACCATAATTTGACATCTTGAATCCTGTGCATGTGGGATCTAATAAACAGAAACAAATCATAGATTTTACTTGCCTAGATTCTCCTAAAGGTATGTGATCAATATTTGTGTAAAGTCTTTAAAAATAGAAGTAATAGGATTTAAATGAAATACTGCAGTATGGAGAGTCTCTGTTGTTTAGTCAGACAGCCAGTCCTTCTTTCACAATAAGGTTCTGGAAAATATTATTTCAAGATAGAACTGCAGCTCAATTTTTTGGTGATTCTGTCATGCTTGGGTCACCCTTAACTGCCACTGCTATTTCTCTTCTTCCTTTTACTCATCCTCAGCTTTCATAGAGTTTAAAGAAAAGGAGCAATTTTGATTATATAGACTGGGGAATTCTGGGAATTGAAATCCACAAGTCTTAAAGTTGCCAACATTGGACATTCCCGATCTAGACATTGACTAATGAGGTTACTCTTAACATTGCTAACTCTTATCCAACTCTCTGAAGCTATTTATGAGGTTTATTTGATGTTCAAACTTTATGTCAATGCACTCCATGAGATTTACAATCTCTTAAAAAATACTGTTAGGACAAACCCTAGAAATTCTTGCTGAATTTTTTTCTAATTCTAAAAAGTCAAAGAAGGAAATGCTTTGGTACCATTCTGATTTATGCATTGGTAGTCTCATTATCATGATTCATTAGTTTTAATGAATTCAAGAACATATCATACTTTTATCCTCCTCTACTTGTTACACATTAGCGGTGAGAACAATTAATACTGTTTCTTTCTGATATATATTTGAAAATAAGTAATATAACACATTCACAGAATAAATAAATAATTGCTCTAAATTCAAACTGCTAGACAGCATTTTGTATTTTGTACTTATACTGTATGTTCTGGTATGCTTGAAAATCAACTGCATTCCAGGATTGCATTTTACAAGCCAAGAGATAAACCAGACATATTATTGCATAGGTTTTCTTCCTCTTCTGTGGTTCATTTGAAAAATCAAGACATAATTTCTTTCTGCTACTAGTTTTAATGGCTGATCTTTCTCATTATTTCTGCCATGGAAGCACCCAGGTCCTCTCTTAGAAAGAGAATTTTTGGTTCTGCCTCCATTTATATGATATGTGACAATATTATGCATCTTTATATAATCTGAAATAAAGCATCTTTGGGATAATCTAAAATAAAAACAATAGAATAAATGGTTTATATTAAATGGAACAAAGTCATAGAAAACTGACATCTTAGAAGCATGAGAATAGAAACTTACTTAGGCAATTCAAAATTTAAAGTTCGGCACAAAATCATTGAAAGCAGTGATTTGCAGCACACGTATGTTTGAACCAAGTATCTCTTTCTAAAACAATAGTCATGCCTTTTGCAAGGATTCTCCAGGTGAACAAATTTAGGGGCAGTTTGCAAAGCAACCTTGCAAGCTTTATAAATGGCATGACTTCAAGAAAGGTGATACATCATTCACAAGATAAATTAAGTTAGAATGATGAAGTAAACTCATTCAGATCAAGAATAAGCATATGGGACTATGTTTCCTGCTGGGACTCAAAGACCTAGGTTGCCCAGTTTGATCTGTAACATCATGTTCATGAAGGGGGAAATGAGGTTAAGTAGTTGGTGCTTCAAATTCATTATGGAAACATATTCCTGAGTGGCTTCAGATAATTTGCTTAGAATATATGTGCTTTGGGGAATTAGCCCATACTAAGTCTCCAACATGTTTACTATACATACATTCTAGTGTTTAATTAAAAGCTATTTGTTGCATTCAGGTAGGCTATTTAATTTGTTTTTATGAGGAAAAATCTGTAAGCATGTATTTGCTGAATTACTTCTTCCTCTTCCCCCACCCCATCCCCTTTCTTCTTTAGATGGGAACTTAATGTTTTTCACTAATCCAGTCTATAATACTGAATATTTTCACTGGAAATTTTCTTAGGGACAGCTATTATTGGCCAAGAAATTGTCAATCCAATCCTGTGGATCAGTAGGCTATGCCTTGAGCTAGGGACAACACACTTTGTCAACATTTTGTCTTCGTACAGTACTAAAATGTACTTTACTTTGATATAGATTTATTTTTATTGCTTCATTGTTGTTGGCAATTACTCTGAAATCTATTTTACATCCTGCTTTGAAGTAAACTTAAATTTATGCAAAATACAGCAGGCAAGATGATCATATTGCTTGGCTCAACCTGGCTGAAAAACAGTAACTGTGAGAGGGAGCCAAAAAAGCTAATACAATCCTTGGTTGTATAAACAGAGGCATATAAACAAAATCAAGTGAAGTAATAATACTGCTTTCTAAAACTTTAGTAAGGTCATACCTGGAATACTGAATCCAGTTTTGGTCACCACATTACAAAAAAGATGTTGAGACTTTGGAAAAAGTGCAGAGAAGAGCAACTGAAATGATTAAAGGCCTGGAGACTAAAACATATGAAGAACGGTTGCAGGATTTGGGTATGGCTAGTCTAGAGAAAAGAAGGATTATGGGTGACATGATAGCAATATTACAGTATTTGAGGGGCTGCCACAAAAAAAAGGGGGGTCAATTTATTTTCCAAAGCACCAGAGGGCAGAACAAGAAACAATGAATGGAAACTAACCAAGGAGAGATGCAACCTGGAATTAAGGAGAAACTTCCAAAAAGTGAGAACAATTAACTAGGGGAACAACTTGCCTTCAGAAGTTGTGGGTGCTTCATTGCTGAAGGTTTTTAAGAAGAAACTGGATAGCCACATGTCTGAAATGGTATAGGGTTTCCCTGCTTGAACAGGGGACTGGACTAGAAGACCTCCAAGGTCTCTTCCAGATTCTATTCTGTTCTGTTCTGTTCTGTTCTGTTCTATTCCTTTTGTTCCCTTAACAACTTGGTCCCTTTCCCTGAGGGAGATTTTCCTGGCTTTAGCCACCCTGCTTACATGCCTTCACCACTTTTAGGTATGGTGGTTTTGGCCAAGTCTCACACATTCCTTCCTCTGGCATCGCATTAAACAGGAGATGCCACAAAATGGGGCTCACTCATCACCTGCTCAGAGCATTACATGTTTTTCTATGTATTCTTGCCAATAGGTTTGCTGTCTAGTTGGCTTGGAGGTACAATATTTTAGGAAAACAAATCTAACACAGTGAAAGACTGAGGAGATTAATACAAAGGCAAATATTTTAAACAGAAATTTTTGAACAACTTTCCTTCCCTGGGATACCAAATCAGGTAACCAAGATGTGAGCCAAGATCTCTGGAGAAAGGCTGCATATAAATTGAACTAATAATAATAAATAAATAAATCAGTTCCATCCCTCCAGATCTTGGGAGATGTGAAATGCTAGAGTCTTAAGCTTGGCTCATTTTGCTTCAATGTAATTCTCATTTTGGTTAGGTTAAAACAGCAAAGACCTTTAAAGGATTCACAACCCTGACCTGCCCTTATTAGTAGATGATCAACAGCCACATAATTTTGGCTATTTTGACTGCAGTCCTGATGTCTGTCATTTCCTCTGTCAGAGTAGTGATGAGGGACGATGTGAGGTTGACACTTTTAGGTAGGATTCACACCACTTTTCTTAGATCCATGTAAGCTCTTTGGGCCAGGGCAAAGCCTCCTACTAAGAAAAGGGTTAGAGTCATGACTTCTGTTTTGGAGAAGAATGCCACGTCACAGGGCCGGTTTTCCTATAGGCTAAATAGGCTTCACTAGGGCCTCAAGATCCAGAGGGCCTACACAGTGGTGGGATTCTGGGGGTTCTAGGTGGCTCGGCCGAACCCTTTGTTAAATTGTGGCTCCCCCGCCTCCGCACCACTATTTATTGCCAATAAATAGTGGTGGGCGAGGGGCGGGGGAGCCAGCAATTTAACAAAGGGTTCGGTGTTTTTTTTGTAATTTTATTGGCCCCGGAGCTCCAGCATAGGCTAATTGGCCTCCCGGCTCTCAGCTGATCTGTCTCCGCTGTTTTGCTTCCTTCAAAGAGTGCTGATTTTTTTTCCCTAGCTATACTGAGAAACGAAGTGAAACTGCTTTGCTGTTGCTGCAATGGAAAATTAGGCAGGCAGAATTCTTTTCTTTTTCCTCACCAAAAAAGTAAGTGCAAACAATGGGAAATTTAGGGGAAAAGAGAAGAGTTCAGGATGAAAAAAAAGCTGTATTTAACTAGGAATTGTAATAATTGAGATACATTGTATATTTCTGAAAGCAGAAATGGTTAAGTTGTGGTTTGAGAATATATGGGGAAATTATTTGGTTTATTATTGGTAAATTTAATTAATGGATTTGTAAGAAATTGGATTGCATGGAATAATTGGAATATTCATGTTCATATTGATTAATATACAAAAAAGGTAGTTTTATAACTAATTGATTTATATTAAAATGTTGAATTTATATTAAATAACTAATATTACATAATTAACCAATGTGAGGATGGATATAAAAATAGATGCATGGGAAGGGGATATAGAATATATTTATTTATAATATAAATTGAATTTGATTAAGATTAGAGATGAATGAGGGTAATATTGGTTTTTTACAAAATAGATGAGAATAAATATGGCAAAAAGGAAATATAGAAATTGTAAATTTAATTGAAATGACTAAACACTGTTTAATTTGTGACGCCAAATACTCTGTTCAAAGAAAATACATTGTATGTTTGTATGTGTGTTTCTAATTATTGTTATTTATTCATATTTGCTCTTTTATTCTTTAAAGTTTAACAATTCATTCTTTATCTTAAATCTTTATAGGGTTGGCTTTCTTCCCTTCATTATTGTATAGCAATCTTTCTCTCAAACTACCACCTCTCTTTTCTTATCTTATCTCCTCCCTATCTCTCTCCTACTCTAATTTCCCTTCCCTTCCTTCATCCCTCTCTATTGCTGTATCCTTTTATGCATATGGACTACTCAGAGGGCTGAAAAAGTTATTTCTGACTGGTCCTTGCACTTTTGACCAGTCCTCGAACTTACGACTGTCCTCACATTTTACGTTTTTGCCCTATCTTGTCACCATGGTGAAGAAAAGCATTGTGAAATGAGTGACATGGTTGTTAAGAAAGCTGCACGGGC